ACACAGCTACGAATAAATAAAATAAATAGGTGTGGTCTCCTACACCTCAAAATGAAGTCAAAACTTAAGTGTACCACTGATTTTGAAAGAATGAGCCCATAATTCAGTTGATGACAGATGAACATCGAGGATATTGTGCCGGAATTGTTTGGCGAGGAGCGGGTCTACTACTGTCAGCGGTGTCTCAATCACGGACTTCGCGTGAAACGCAAGAACCACAAGCAGAACTGCGCGTACAGCATGTGCCAGTGCTCTGACTGCATTGTGAGTTTTTCCGATGAACATCCACGGAAGTAGTTGTTTCGTTCGAACTGTTAGCATTTGAGCGGATGCGCTCGTGTGCCGTGTCTAATAGAATTAGTTGAGATGGTGGAGCGAAGGCGAGAATTGAACAGCCGTCTCGTGCAAATCGAAGGTGAGCCAGGCCATCAGAGTTCCACAGAATCGCCTTGCGGAGTTGAAGATACCGCTGTCAAAGTTAAAGGTACATTGTTTCAACAATTTTATCCTCAACGTTGATTTTATATAGGAAATTTTGCTCCATCTCGTGCTAATCGTTATTCAATGCATATTTATTTCTGAGAGGCGAAGCCTCACCCAATAGCGCTGGAGTCAACGTGCGTCGGCTCGTGTATCTAAAATACCCACTGAATCGACATATTCACGCATTTTTTATTATTACATTCAATCACTAGCTTCAATGACAGTTCACAGAATTCTTCGTTCCTACGAAATTGACCATTTACTAGTCAATCACAGGGCGCTGGATGCATACTGAAACCGTTCGTAACCAATTTATCGATGGGCTCGGAGGTTTGCTTGGAAAACCCCCGCGCTCTAAGTGGGACCATTTCTTGAAAAGTTCCAAAACCTATAAAACTGTCTATTCATTTTCACATTTCCCAGCGGCTTCCCTTGTACTGACGTTGACTTAATGAGACTTGAGATTGGCTACCGAGAAGTCCTGAGGACTATTTCCCTTCACCATTTCTCAGGATGAAAGGGATGTGGTTGTAGTTGCTGCCGCTACGCGCCTCTCGATCAAAGGCGCGTACGCTGTCCGGCCAGCCGAACCTTTCATGGGATCGGATAGTTGGCACTAGATCGGTGAGATCGGTTGGGCTGCGAGTATTAAGTATCACTTGTTCATCGACTGGGTCCCTTTCAATTATCGTATAGGCCAAATGGCATTAAAACGCCACCACGATTCTGAGTGGAGATGGAGTGCGTGGCGTATCCAAGGGAAGGATTGCATCGGCGCTGGATGCTTTATCATCTTTACCTCTTGAACTCTTGCCTCACATTTTTTTCCGGTGAAAGAATTAATAGTCGGTGAGATCTATAACGCCAATCTGTGACACTCGAGTTATTGGGATGAACATCGGCTAGTCAGCTGCTTTGCAAAGAACTCCCTAAAAAGGTGTAGGAAATGAATTGGAAAAGACAGCTGTGTCCATTTCGCCCAACAATCGTCGAGTTTCTTTCGTTGGTATTATTACCGACACTTGTCATTGTGAAATGGACCGCCAACAGCTTTTGACAGGTGCCGTTGGCAACGATTATGAGCTGTTCAATGCCGCTGCCAATTGCCTGGAGTTGAAGAAGTCTCCACGTGGTTAGGTAATTCATACATATGCTGTGGATATCCCGTCTGCGCGCTTGTCGAAATACCAGCCTAAAGGCGGATTTTATGATGAAAAGACATCACAATGAAAATTAAGTTAGAGATGGTTAGTAACGCACGAGAGAAGAATAATCAAGAAAAATGGCCTAAAACTCGAGGAATGGGACCAATCGCTTGCCTTTTGATTTGCGCATTGATGCGACTCTCATCACTGCTGCCCTCTTCAACACTAACGCTCTCTTTCTCTCT